AGCTCCAACTTCTAACATAGTTACTGCTGACCTTGCTGTCTGTAGTTTGATGCTGGAGGTGGCTTGTTCTTTCCCAAACCAAGGGCCAAGAAATCAAAGCATGAATTTTAGTACAGAAGCACCAGCTGAGAGCACTGATTAGTATTTGTTGGTCTGAAGAAAGATATAATCTTGGATTGCAAAGTACTTTTAAAGTTCTTAAGATGATGTCTTAAGACTGGATAAATCATGTAAAATGACTTTGTCTGAAGAAAGATATCATCTTGGATTGCAAAGTACTTTTAAAGTACGTTCTTAAGATGATGTCTTAAGACTGGATAAATCATGTAAAATGAACAAAAATATTTAGAGATAAGAATTTTGATGATCTGAAGTTTAGATACCTCAAAAGAAAATTGTATTGCAGGCTGACATCTAAAAAACATGCCTAGATTTGCATTATTTTCCTGATGCCTTGTTATGAGTCTAGACTACAAATCCCTCTGCATAGAAAGCTCTGGGAGATATTGAAAAGTCTCCGTAACAGCCTTATCAGAAGAAGTTAAAGATACGAGTTCATATGGTTTGTTATTAGGGAAATTGCTTAAAAGCAGGAACTCTCATTAATTATTTTAGATTTCAAGCTTTTATATGCAAAAGTGCTTAGCGAAATATCAAGCACAGGTAAATTAAAAGGAACTTACAGAACCAGCTGCTAAAAGTTCTTTACAATTTTTTTGTCCTGTACAAAGAATCTGTACAAACTGCTCCTGCAGACAGGAAAAGTCAGATCTGAGCCTGTCTCTTACTACAGCAATAGCAGAAGTTGAAGGGAAGTCAGTTGTGCTCTCCCTCATCCCCAGCAGAAGGCTCATTAGGTGCCCTGGGACATTGGTGCCCTCTGGTATGAGCAACTGTACTTTACTGGGCAAGAACCCAGCCTTCCTCTGTTGTCTGGCAGAATCCAGATGTAGGATTCAGCAATAACTTTAAGCAAGAACAGATGTGTTGGAGCATAGTAAAAAAAAAGTTTCCCTTCCCAGAGCAACAGCAGCAGAAGCATTTGTAACAGTAGTAGATCCTATTTTTCTACAGATTTTTGGGGGTTAGGTGAGCTGTCTGCCTGTTAATCTCTCATAATTTTTCAGTTTACAGAAGCTAACCCTGTAATTCTTCTAACAGGACTCTACTCTTGGATTTCCCAAAGGTAACAAAGTATGTCAATTGACTTGAAAAGCAATCCCAAAGGAAAACAGCTATCCCATTAATTGGATGAGGGGAACAGAGTGGGGGGGGGTTGGTAGAGGGGGTAGAAATCTTTCTGTAGAATAACCCTTACAGTGTCTAAAGCTGAGAGGGAATGCAGAAATTAAAATTAATTTAGTGCTTAGTGAGGGACTTTACCTGTTTTCTAATAAATTTTTTTCTTTTCTACTAAAAACAGTTAATGCTCTCAAGTATTCTCCCCTGAATATTAAAAGGATTCTTTTTCAATTAAACAAGAAAACACTAACAAAAATACATAATTTACCCTATCAAGGCAAAATCTGTCATTACTTAATGCCCTGGCTTTTGGAATTATTTTGACACTTGAAAAAGTAATCTTCAATCAGAGATCCAAATGTACTCGTAACATCCAACGGTACAAAACAAAACAATAGTCTCCTTCCCTTTGATAATTTATAGTCTTTGTAAGTGGTTAAAATGGTTTTAAAGTTTTTCCATCATTCAAATGCAATTTTGATTCATACTGATCATCAGCTGTATTCCTTCTTTTAAGAAAAAACAGCAAGATCAGTTTTTAATTTAATGCAGTAACTGATTTAGAATTTTTTTAATATAAGAACAAAGTTTCTAGATTAAAATCTAGGTTCAAAGAACCTACATTAAGAACCTCATTTATCATAACAAGTTTGTATGGGCAATCAGTGACACCTTGAGTTTCATTCAAAAACTTCATACTATATTTTCTACACTGCTGTCCATTATAAAGCATGAAGCACAAACAAGCTACACTGTATTAGCAACTCCACGTGTATCTCCATGAAACTTCAATCCCAGTTCAGCACTAAATGTCTCTTGGAGATGCCCAACTAGCTATGAAATATAGACAGATGCAGGACAGATTACCAAAAACATCTCAAAGAAGGGAGTTGGTTTGTGTCATGTCAAGGAGGGGGGTCATTTCAGGAACTGTAATTGCCATTACTAGAAATGGCTTCCTGTAAGGCATGAACCATACACAATTTAAGGAATTCCTCTGACTCCTAAGTCCAGACTACTTGTAGCAAAGAGCCATGTACTTAATGAGATTTAAATCTCTCCTCAGAGACATAAGGACATCTCTGTAAGACAAGTTCCATATATTAATTATTCCACATGTGAACTAAGCCTATGTGTTAAACACTCCACAAAATTACTACAAAATGAGAAACACAATGTAAAGAATTAAAATTAGTATAGCCCACTACTTAGAGCATATGCTACCAGTTTTTTTCATGAGGTAGGTTTTGTTTTTTTAGTGCTTACTCATAAGGAAAGACTATTTGCCCTCTGGTACAACTCATCAAGGATATCAGCAGAACATTCTGAAAACAAAAGCATTTAAAATGAATGTTCTTTGAGACTGTGACTGATGTGGCTGACTAATGAACAAGGTAATTGGTTTATTTATCTAAACCAATCCTTTCTGGCTCAATAATGGGAACGACATTGTTCACAGTTGACTAGGACTCCCTGAAAATCACTATATAAGAAGAACTATCAGAGAAAGTAACTTGATATTCCTTTCATAAGCTTTCCCTTACTTTTACACTGCAAATAATTTTTCAATTGCAGGTTTGATTCTGAGTATGAGATAATAATTTTAACCAATAATAATTGGAATAACTTCCTTGAAGATAAAGGTTATCTGAAAAAAAGTATATATATTAGATTCCCTTTTTAAATCACAGAGACTGTAAAACTAAAATGAAACCAACTTCTATGTTTAATAGGGATAATTCCTATCTTACAGGAATGAAGGAGGAGACAAATTTTCTTTATGCTTAGTTCTGTAAAAATAATTTAATTTTCAAACTGAGTTCAAAATACATTAATATTTTAAACATTTAATTTATTTTCTTTTTAATCAGATTAGCCCAGTAGAAAAAGAATTCAGAGTGATAAATTGCTTGGGATGAGGATAAAAGCAATAGTGAAGGCAGACATTGTCTTCCCTTAGGTTAAAATTAACTATTTTCTGTCTTTCAGTAAATATGCTTTAAATACTAAAAACTATGAGATTCTTTTTGAAATACATAATTTTGTTGTATCAAAAACCAGGACATAGTTACATGTTCTTATTTTGGGTTGTTGATTGGTTACATTACCAAAACACATAGCTACAAAGAAGTACTTTTGGTTTTAATCTGAAAATATGGACAATTTATCCAGTGACAGTTACTTAATGTTGTTTTATCTTTGTTATCATTAGTAAATCCAAACAGCAGTATAACATAGTTACAACAGGAATTTCTGCTGCAGAACAGCAGTGCAGATGGAAACATTTCACAGTGGTGTGGAATGCAGCATTTTTCTTTGTGCCAAGTTTGCCAGTTTTAACTCACTACACCATCTCAAGTCTAACAGTCATGAACTCTACCTTCCACTGTCCAGTAATGTCAAAAGCCCACGTTCTAAAGACAGCAAGCATGAACTGACATCACAATTTTAAGAGCCATCACATGTCTTCCTTCTTTGTCAAGAAAAATGAAATCTTCATATAAAGGGATCAAGTAACTTCTCAAGCAATAGGATCCTGCTTGGTCTAACAGCAGAACTGAACCAGGAATGCCATTTGATACATCTATTTAAACTGCTGGCCTCAGCCTCCATGCATTTCCTTTTAAACAGTTCTTCATAAACAGGATAATGAAAAATCATGGAACATGATCATGACAGCTCCAAAATAAACCAGCAATCCTCTTCTCCACTGACTGGCAAAGTGTCTTAGCAAGGTTACAGTGGCTGTATAATGAGATTCATAACCTAATCTCTGTCGACACCCCTGCACATTTTACCCCACCTATAAATTTCTAACACATTGTTTGATCTTGAAAAGGGGCAAATTGGTAAAAAGCATTCTTGAAGGACTCAGATATAGATTTTGACTGCAACATTCAGTTTAGTCCATTGGCAAGAATGGGAGTGTTGTTGTACAAATGCATTTTGTACCATTTGTTTAGCTACTTAAAACCATTTCTTAAAAATTCTCAATCTATCTTACTGACATTATAAACACAACTGCAGCTCATACCAAAATATTTAAAAAACGCAAAAAAGTGAGAGGAAGCAGTACTGGGTTATGCAGCCAGCATTCTTTAGGACAGGACATCTTGCAGTGTGACTGCAGAAGGAATTATCCCTGTGACTGAAATGCTGTGCATTAGGAACAGTTAATGGAAAAGGGAACTGTCAGTGAGAACTGGCAAATCAGGCTGAAGCAGAGCTCAGGGACTTTCTTTTGCAAAGGCAGAAAGAAACTCTGACTGCATGGAACAACCCTGCCAAATCCAGAGCAATTTCTTGGTTTGCTGTATCTACTTTACACAAGCAATTTGTTTCCAGATCCTCTTAACAACAGGAAAATGAGACATGATGAAGCAGGATGAAGCTGGCAGGCCATAGGTCACGCTCCTGTAACCAAAAAAAGCACGAGGGGAAAAAAGAAAAAAAAAGGCTGTGGTCATTTCAGAAACCACATCTCATACAGACAGAACACTGAAGCAACTGTTATCTAAGCAACTCAGCTGAATACAGAATCTCTTGCCAGAAGCGTCCAGACATTATTTTTCCTCCTCATAACAAGAAGTATTACCCTGCAGCTTCAGTAAATGCGGCTTATATGGAGGCACTCTAGTGAGAAACACAGAGGACTAAAGATGGCAGAAGGGCAGGAACCAGAGGGAAGATGGGGCAGGCCGAAAAGTTTAACAGAAATGTGCATTTCACCAGTCTAGGCTTTTTCAAAGTGAACTTACCTGAAAGTCTTGATCATCAATTCCAAATCTCTCTCTTAAATTGCGGAAAACCATTGGACAATATTCTTTAAATTTGAAATGACTTGGCATGTTTTCTCTGAAAAAAGATAAAACCAATTCAACTTCATTACTGTGCATATATAATAAGCAACTTGAGAATTTTGTCTCAAAGCTGTTAATAGAAAGCTCACAGTAACAATCCTCTAACGATGCTTTCTTTTTTTCACTGAGATTGGGTTATCTTGTTTTTCTTCACAATGTTTAATGAATGTTTATTAGCTTACTATAACATCATTATGTTGTAGCTAAGGAACTACAAACAATGATGAAATGAACACAAACTGTATTTTGACAATTCTGAAATATGGATTCAAAAGAAGAAAAAGAATGCTTTCCCACTGCCCTAAACTTACTTCAAAGGTGAAATCTTAGATTGGATTATAGAAGAATTACTATACCATCTGTGCCATCAAGAAGTACTAACAGTGCCAAAACTTCAAGAAAAGTTGACTCATTCAATACAAAACTAGTTTTAATATCCTAGTGTTCATTTTAGACTTATACAACAGAAAAGCTATTCTTACATTTGTCACAGAGCTGAAGACCCAAAGCAGCAGAATTTTTCTTTTCTACATGTATTCTTGAATAAAATTCAGCTTATACACAAACCAAAATTAATAGTTTTGTATGTCTGTACATACTGCTCATGGGGCATTTTATTTTTAAGAGACAATAGGTATTACATGAAATTACCATAATACTTTTGAAACTCCTATATGATGGGTATGATTTTGTATTATGGAAAATAAAAAGCTGAACATTATTCACATTTGATATAGGCTTTAGATTCTCATTTTTATTCAAATACACCACTTAATAAAGAGCACATGAAGTAATATTTTTAGAAATACACAAATAAATGCATATATCAGCCATAAATAATCACAGCAAAAAAGAATCACCTTCAGTATCTAATATACTCATAAGTCAATAAGAAACCATATGGAGGAAAAAATTCTACCCAGCAGCCTTTGCTGCTGCTTTTTAGAACAGCACAGACGGTTATGTTTATCTCAGGATTAACTTAATCATCAAAACTTCAGTTCCATGCACCGAAAAATAACAGAGTTCATAGTACTTCATAAAAATATCACTACCACTATCCACTTCTACGCAAAGTTGTTACTTGTACTTACTTGTTGAAAAGGTGATTGTCCACCTTTATCTTTGAGTATGCTTTGAAATCATCTGGCATCAACATAACAGGGATTTGAACATGGCTCAGTTCATTGATCTAGAGAAAACAGAATATATTTAGTTGCTGCTGTCTTTGCAAAGATGCTACATATATGTCTTAATCCTGAAAGTCTACTATTTCCTGTGTATATATCCCAGGAGTGAATGCAGGTAATGGAAGAATGTGAAAGCAATGTTATTCTTTCCAGATCAAAGGCAATCTCAAGAGTGACACTCTGGAAGAGAAGAAACAGCATTCCATATTTAGACTTGCTTCAGAAATAAAAAAGTGCTTTAAAGCACACCTGGAGTGTACTTTTTATGGAAGGTCACTGACAATGCCAGCAAAATGCTTTCCTCTACCAACACATTGTTCTTGTTTTGCCAGTCAACCTATGCTTTACAAAGATAATTCAACTTCTTTATTTCCAATGACTATTTACCCCTACAGCTTAAGAAATCTTGTATGCCTGTGTCTTGAACTGTTTGTAGAAAACACAGTGAAATTTTGCATGCATGTGAATGTACATATTTTCAGTCCAATAAGCAGAAGTTTGTTTCTTACAGTAGTGCAAAATTCAGATGAGTTTCTGTAAGTCACAAAATTCAGGCATTTCTTTGATTGTTCACATTGGACAAACAACTTAGATAATTTTTTGCTTAGAAATAGAGGTGTACGTAGGTCATAAGGTTTTCCTTATTTTCCTACATTTATGTGGACCACCTACTCTGTCTAGCTTTGGAATTAACATTGTCAGTATTCTCCAGATTAGGATTTTTCCACTTTTATTTGTAATTTACTTCTGAACACAAGTCTATTATAAAATGTAGACAACTTCACCATGACCTAGTTTGTAGGCATGTTTTAAGTACTACATGTATTAATCTACCCTTACTTAAGTTTAACTAGAACATGATAAATACAAGACAGAATTGTTAAGCTTGCAAGGGTCCTTCCAAACCAGGAATGAGATACCCATTACAACAACTGTCACCAAATACCCATGACATGTTTTATCCATGCTTTTATGGCACCCTACACCCTAGTCACGCATCTCAATTTACCCAGTCAAATCTTCTTGCTCATACAGAGCACATTTTTTCCCCAGCAGTTTCCTACAGGGTTTAGAGGGAAGTCCCCTCTATAAGAATGGGAACGTACACTGGGGCTGGAGGTAGCAACACAGGAGTGCTCCTCTGCTCCCTAGCGCTGCTTACCCACCAGTGCTTTCCAACTAGGAAGATGTTAATTGCCTGTAAATGCTACTCTGTTCAAGAGAGGCTTTTGGAGAAACCTCCACTGAAGCAGCTATAGGTTAAAAATACTGGAGGAAAAAAAAAAAAAAAAGCATTCCCTGCAAGTATGACCTTTAGAAGAGCTGAAGTTAAACAAAATAGGAGAATAGTGAAGAGTGCTCTAGCTCTTGAGCAGAAGAAAGAAACCTTCCTTCTGGCAGGAACGTCAGGTGGTCTCCTTACTTTTCAATACTTAAAAGCCCCAGTAATGTTCCCTGCTATGTCTCATTTTTGTCATCCAGATCTTGCAGCCCACAAGAAAAGTGCAAAGAATGCTTCTTTGGAAAGACCTGAAAAGTCATTGATAGAAGCATGGCAGCTCTAAGCAGAGCAGAGAAAGGAAAGAGAAAGATGTCGGGGATGAGCTCAAAGTGCTCCACTCCTTAGTGTTGTAGAGAGAAAGCTCTTTTCCCACTCAAAAGGGAGAGAAAGAAGAAACTTCAATAAATTTTTGAAAACACAGCTGTACAAGCCTAATAAATCATGATGACACCTCATTAAATACAACATAAAATAACAAAACACTGATTGAAAAGTCACTACATCCAACATACACGCTCTTTACTGAAGTTGATACTGCTGTACATCAATCTCACCCTGAAGTCACAAGGCAGCTCATGAGCCTGCAGAACCAGTGTAGCTGCTGTACAAATAAAACTAGGGACAAGTAGATATATTACACAGAGATATGAAATTCTGAATTTGTTTTACAGAATTACCATCTCTTTCAGATTGCCAGATCACACAACATATTTCACACTTGAATGAAGATTAGCAGAAATGTACATGCACATATGTATTACAGACAAAAATGATCACAAGAACACCTTCTGCTGAATACTGTAAACAATACTGAACTCACATGCTCAACTATCTACAACAAAGTTTGCTTGCAAAACTGAATTGATCAGATTCTTATGTGTACTTGCTTTCTTAATTTGCTGATATGAAGTTTCTCTGCATACATCTATAGATTACCTTTCATGCTGTGGACATTTAAATTTGTGCTATGTAATGACACAGTTTTACTTGTGCTTGTAGGCCCTACAAGCATCACCTACACACTGGAATGAAAAAGCCTTTGTATGAGCATACTTTGGGGATTCTTTGATTTTAAGAAAAAAATTCCAAAATACTTTTTCTAAGAAGTTCACTACAAGATGAAAATGTACACTCTCCCCATTCCCCAATCAGCAGGTTTGATGGTTTTGTTCTTTTCAGGAGGGATTAATTTTTCAGGGTGCTTTTTGGTTTGTTTTCAGAATTTTTTTTGTTGGTGTTTTTGGTTGGTTGCTTTAAGATTCATCCAAATCTGAGGTAACTAAAAGAAATTTCTCTAATATTTTTGGGAATTCTTCTCAAGCAGAGTAGGAAAATAAAAAAAGCAGGTGATGAACACACAGCAGAAGTGACCTTTGGTATAGCACACCAGCTGAGTAATAGCATATCCCAGCAGCACAGACCATTAATTAATTTAAACCTTTCAAGTATAAGATCTGGTTCTCTCTGCAATAGGACATTTTTGGACAGATTTGATGAGGCCTGACTGGAAAATGTGCACAAGAGTGAATGGAACACCCGTGTCATTAGATCTTGGTGGAAACTGGAACCACACTGTGGGGGGGAGGGAGAAGAAACAATATCCAAAACACCCCCTCCCCCAAACAGCTCTTGAAAAACTAAAAGAAAAGGGAAAGGTCAGAAGGATCAATTATCTACTTTGCCACCACTGTGTGAAGAGACAGCCACATCTGAAAGACACTAAACATGAAATGCAAAGAAAACATGTGGAGTCTTCCAACTTATCTCAAATGAATATTTTGCTTTTTTTTTCTATCTTTGAAAATTAAGCACAAGAGAAAATGTGTTAAGATGTATGTGATAGCTTTGACAAGTATTATGTCCATCTCTTCATGTTACCCATTAAATACAGTTAGTTCCCTTAGCAATAACAAATGAGATGTGTGCACGAGGATGAAAGTTCAGTATTCCAAATTACACTAGAAACTGTTACAATAGCTGTAATAATTACATAAGAAATATCCATTTTCCTCTAAGGAGTGCTTTTGAATGCAATAAAATCATAAGTAAGAAAATTTCCCAAGAAACTGAGATAAACAAGAGATAATTGCAAAGCATAAATGAAGCAAAAAGAGCTCACTGGTCAGAGGACTGAGGGTTCAGGATCAAACATTCATTTAACTGCAATTACTTCAGAGAATCCACATGTACAGCATTGCTATAATAAATGCATGTGCATAATATTGGAAAGGAAAATTCTTTTAGTCCTTCAACCTACATCCTTTAATTGCCTTGAATTATTGTTGCCAATGCAAAATTTTGCTGCAGTTTGTCTTTTTTGAAATGGACAAATGCTTGCTGTATCTTTGAGGAATGAATATCCCATAAAATATCCTTAGACAATATATTGCTTTAAATATGAATGACTAAAATTTTAGTTGCAGAGTAACCATATATATTATGTATAAATACCTCATATGTATTAATAATATTTGTAAATTCATGCACACATGATATTAACAAGTGACCCAGAAACCTCCCTTTAAGTAATTCATTCACTATCTTTTGTGATATTAGTATAAACACAGGTGGTTATGTGACTTGAAAACAGCTCTGGACAACTTCCAAGCTTTAGGACAGAAGACTGTTGAAAGCCTTAGAGTGGCATTGCCCCTTTAAACATGCATACAAAAAATTGTGGCTCAGAGTGGTGGCTTGGAACATGGGAGGTGAGAGAGGACCAAAGCAAAAGGAAGTTTTCAGGCAAAAAACAACTGATTGCAACTCATTTTGCTCCTGCAGGTTTAGCATTGAATTCACACTGTCAGGATAACAGAGGTTGTAATTAAACTGCAAATAAGGGAATAATAAAAGCCTACTGGACACTGAATAAATAGTAAGACTCAGCTGGTAATGATTTTGAAATTAGCACACAGAGAGGTGTTCCCACAAAGCCATCTTATATTGGTGACATTTCAAATAAGCTGCTCTAATTTATATGATTTGAAATCAAGCAATGACTATATCATAAATTGTTAGGCATTATTAATGGCCCTTATTTAATTCAGATACATTCACCCTAAACATCACATTACTAGGGCAATGCATAATTAAGCATTAGTTTTCATTCTGTCAGAACACAAGCAGCAATAAATTGCTTGTATGCAAAGCAGACAATGAGATATTTAAACTGCATATAATAAAGGCAATTTACAGCATATATTGCATGTTTAGCTAGAAGAGTCAGAACAATAATCCTGTTTTCCAACAGATACAAGCTGATGCCTATTGCTACAATGCTACAGCAAGAAACCTGTGTAACACATTACAGCTGATATTACTCATTTAAAAAACCAAACCAAGCAACCGACCAACCAACCAACCAAAAAAAAACACCATAAAAAACCCAATAAAGCCATGAACAATGTCCAAAATTTAATCCCAAGAAGACCACAAATCACGGTCAGACTACTTAGCAATGCCTGATTTCTTTTGAAACTCTTCCTATTTAAAGTCTTCATACTCTGTTTTTTTTTTTTTGTTTTAATTTAATGTTGCAGCTTTAGCATACAGCATGTATACTGTTTCCTTTTATTTTACCATATCAGCCTGCCAGACTTGCTGAAACTATGGAGGGATGAGGTGTTTTTACACCGAACAGCCTGATAAAACATCTCAATTGCTGTTACAGCTCTTGGCAGTTACACACACAGGAAAATCCCTGCTGCTCCTGATGCTGGA